GGGGGCAAAGCGCCCCGCCGGGTCCCGGCCCGGGGTCCTCCCCGGAGAAAGACAGACCCCAGGGCTCGGGACACACGCGCTACCCTGGAAACCCCACTGCAAATAAAACGTGCTGTAAGAGAGCTGTCTGGTCTGCTGCTTCTTCAAGTGCATTCCCTGGTATTGGGGAGGGCAGCGAGACGCGGCTGCGGGGTACCCGTCAGCATCCGTGTTCAGCCCCAGCCCAGACTCGGTCACCCCCGGGTCCTGCCTTCATGGGGAACTGCCTCATCACGGCAGTCCTGGGCCAGGAGATGGGGCAGATTGCCAGGCTGGGGCTTGGGAGCTTGTTTCTCCCATCACCAGTGAGTACTGGAGGAATAAAAGTGCAGACAGTCAGATTCTCCCTCCATTCCTCTCTTGCTGTGGCCAGAATTCCCTTTATTTTCTGCGAGAGTCAAGATATTTCACAGTTGTCTTCCCTTTTTTTTTTTTTTTTTTTTCCCACTCACCCCCCACAAAGCCCTTGTGTGTTTCCCTGGGTATGAAGACTGAACACGTATTTCAGGATTTGGCCCTAAAATTGCACGGTGACTCTCCTCTGTCAAACAACTGTATGATCTAGCTCTGATACCCTGTCGGGAAATTTTACTCTTAGTCACTCTCAGTGCTCTGGCAGAGACAAAATTAGTAAAGATAGTAAGAACAAACCACTAGTATCTCTTTCACAATCCACAAGGTGCATTTCACAATATTCAGAAAGCAGTATAGATCCATTTACTCCTAATGACTTTCGTCCCACCAGTCAGGATGAAAATTAATTACTCTATTTACATGGGTCTAGAAATAGCCAGGTCAAGTTTTTGTGAGTTTCAGGATTAACAAGTATTTCCTTCCAGGCACCAAATCTAAGTCTTTCTACCATGAAAAATTTCCAGCCCTTTGCACTTCTGTAGTTGTAATCCAAAATTTTCTAACCCCCACAAAAAAGACAGGGATGAGATGGAGAGTTGGGCTCCTTCAGTGCATCCAGAAATGTCTCCTATGATAAACACTGTGAGTGGGAAGGGATACCCACTTCACTAATGTGGGATAAGGCCGTATTTGCCTTTTGTGTTTATGTTGTTAGCGATGAGTGGCCAAGGGGCCTGGAAGTGGCATTTCACCTCTGATAAATCTTTCACTTGAACCCAGCCCAGCTTAGTTATGTCACCAAAAGTGACCACCTGACCACTCTTTGGCAGCGCCTCTGAACCAAGGATGAAGGAAGCCTAGCTTAGGGATGGCTCCATCCTCGCAGCATACCGAGGGGCCGTGTCCCCCGCAAAGGGCTACAGAGAAAGTGAGATGGCACCTACCTGCCTGTGCCACTCAGCTGGGCAGCAGGCAGCTGTGCTTGTGACACAGGACGAGGGCAGCCCGCCCCCTCCTGCACTGCTGCCTGCAAAATCACTTTCTGCCCTTGCTCTGTAACCTTGAGGGCAGCGTTTTCTTTCCCACAGAGTAATTCAGGAGGAGCCTTCTCCAAAATGGGCCTTCAGTGTGTATAGATAGGTCCCAAGTAATCATCGAGTAAAAAAAGTGGTTTGAAAGCCCTGGGTTGAGGTCGTGCAGAGGTACAAACAAGGTATTCGCACACTCTTGTCATTACAGAAGCTTCAGGAGTATGAAAGTGCCATAACTCTAACACAGTCCTTCTTGGGTTTGGGCAATCACTTCCTGAGCCTTCTGTTCATAGAAATCCTCATGCAAGACTGTAAGCATCACTGGTTTTATTCATGATTTCTCACACATTGCTTCAGTGCTGCAGTTCTCATTCCTCTCGACCAGAATACCGTCCCAAGGATACTGCTCATGGCCAGGATCTAATACAGTGCAGATCATTTTAAATGATGGCTTAAAGTGAGCCAAGCTGGAGAACTTTCAGCATTTCATTCTGCACTGTGCTGACCTTGGCAAAGGATCGCCTGTGAAGTATGCAGAGTAACACTAGCAAATCACATGTTGGTAATGTACACCTCTCTTTGGCTGGCAGACATTTTAAGAGTTGCAAAAAGGTCAATACTTCTGAGAAGTAGCTTTTCAGAGAGTGAGGAGAAGTATCCCGTCTGTGGGATGTTTGTCCACAGCTTCCTCTGAGGGTTTTGTTATACACACCAAGAAAATAAACTCTTCATTACAGGACATCTATAAACAAAGCTTCTACGAGCCAAAGTGTGCTGTAAACCTTGGAAGGAGTGGAAGTTAGCACCATGAAACCACCTTTAGCCCATGAAAGAAATTTTTCACTATGATAGGAAGAAATTTTTCACTATGGGGGTGGTGAGACACTGGAACAGGTTGCCCAGAGAAGCTGTGGATGCCCCATCCCTGGAGGTGTTCAAGGCCAGGCTGGATGGGGCTTCGGGCAACCTGGTCTAGTAGGAGGTATCCCTGCCCATGGCAGGGGGGTTGGAACTAGGTGATCTTTAAGGTCTCTTCCAACCTAAACCATTCTATGATTCTATGATGATTGGGAAGAATAAGGTGTAAAAGGCTGCTCTCTTGGGAGACATGCTGTTGCGGTCAGATTTTGCATATTCAATAATAATAATAATAAATGTAACTGAAAAGAAAGATTTGTATTCTGTGTATTCAAGTTCATTTAAAGAAGGCTGTGCCCACGAATACATGAGAAGATGATGGTCTAGAAAACCTGAGCTCCACCTCTCAATTCCTGCTACCTGGCTGAGTGCTGCAGGCTGTGACAGCATGCAGTGGTCTCGCAGGCAGATGGAGGGATGCCTCACAGTGTCAGAATAATGTAATACAGAAGCCGCAAGGTTTCTGACTATCACTCACTGCAATGAAAGGCATAATTTGGTGCAACTTTAAAAAGAAAAGTAATTATTATTTTTTTTTACCTCTGAAAATCATGCTTTCTCTGCTTATATTCTGATTGAGGGAGGCAGCTGTGCTTTTTCTGTGTGTGTGCGTGAAGAGCTTCTTGTATCTTTTATCTTTTGTTAAGAAACCAAGCAGAGATGTTCAGTGAAACACATAGTTTAATCTCAGATCAAAAAGTCCACTCTACATTGCAAAACTAACATAGGAACCTAGTAAAGATCTCTTAAGTACAGCATCAGGACAAAAATCCTGCTTGGGCTATGTTTGTATTTCTGAGTTGCTTGTGTGGAAAAAGACTCACTTTCCCTGTAGGAAAAGATCAACCTCTTTCTTCTCCTGTGGTAAGGCTTTTAAAAGTGATAAACTTTTAGTAATTAGTTCTTGGAGGATGAAGGGGTCTTAATTCACACTGTTTGTCAAAATATGCCTTGGAACCCCTCAAATGCATGGCTGCATTTCAGGGGAAACTCAGCATCTTCACCTTCCCAGCTCAGCCTGCTTGTCAGGAGCAGTCAGACTTAACCACAGCAGGCAGCTGATTTCTCCCAACCCCAGACCTGCTCCCTCCCCGCCTCCTTCTCCTCCTCCTCCTCCTCCTCCTCCTCAGAGCTCTTGACTCGCTCATCACTTCTCCTGGCTCCTCTCAGCTGGACCTTGGGGTCCCACAGGAGGACCCGCAGCTGGCCAGCCGATGACTGCTGACCTTTGGCAGGCTCTGCACGGGGTATCAGCCTTACAGCTGGCCACAACTGCCTTCCTGGCAACTAAAGACCTAATGATCTTGGCCAGCTGGAGACTGGGCTGGGATCCTGCTGGCTAATTTGACCCTGTGTGAGGGATGGAGGAGTTCACCCTCAAACACAGAGGGGATAAGCAGTGCATCTGTCCACGTGCTGCCCTGGAGCATCAGGGCTCGGCTCCTCCTGCAGCCAACTGGATTAGTGGAATGAGTGAAAAAGAGACTGCAAAGCTACTCTTCTTGTGCTTTAATTGGGTGTTCTGTTGAGCATTAGCATAAGCTTCACCAGTCACCTTCTTTGCCCTCATGACATCTCATGCTGTTCTCTCCATTCAGTCCAAGAGATAAACCCATCCACCAGACCGGGCTGGACTGAGGGAGTTATTCCCCTTCCCAAACACAGTGTGATACATTTTCTCTTCATTTGGCAGGTGCCCCGCTTGCCTTCCTCCAGGAGGTTAACGCATCCTGGATGCTCGTGGACCTCATGCCAAACCCACTGTACTGCAGAGTCCAGCTACTTTCTTAAAGGTCTTCTGCTTTGTGCTCCCCAGACCAGCTGAAAGGCACCATCCAGCCTGGAGCCTGGCTTCATTCTGAGCATTAGTAACACTTATGGACTG